GCGCGTATAACAGCCCAAACTTTGATGGTAGGAGCTTCACTCTTGTTACACGTCTTGTTACGCTGTCATTATGCAAAGAGCCGTGGTATATCACCTTCTTCACCTGACCCACATGTAGCAATGGGCTTTAAAACCATCTGGTTTTATGGCTGTCTTTTTTATCAGAGTGATCGCACGCTTTAGCAGAAAGACTAGGTCACGAGGCGGTTTAAATGCCGAGTCCCTTTGACACACCAGCCCGTGTCACTCAGTGTTTCTGCTCGGTGGGAACACATACCAGTGGGAACATAACAGTTGGTTCTGAAATTAATTCAAATTCAAAAGCGCAAAAGTATATTCTCTTAATGAGGTTTAAATGCCAAAATGAACACAAATGATTTATTAATATATTAAAGCTGTATTAGAGGATTTTCCCAAATTTTAGGAAAGAACCACCCTCTCCGAAAACTCTCTGGTTTTGTTTGACAAGAATGTATCACCAGAATGATTGACAATTAGGATAACCAATAGTCTCAATGATCCACCCAGAAGTAGAAAATCCTCCTATATACCTTTAATAATAATACATTTTCTCGAAACTTTTGCTACCCTTTGCAGCTTGACCAAGTTTTTTTAAATGAATGCCTGGGGCCAACAACCTGCTTTTATGGTAAACTTCATTGATTCTTTCCATAAAATCTTGTTGCAGAATCTCATTATACAACAGGGAGCATGTATTTACTCATAAATAACAGCATAAAACACAGAGTAACTTTGTGTCTGTAACTGCCTAGAGTGATGTTGTGGTTGAACTGTATGGTCTTTTGGCTTAACAACGGTATCGTTCATTTTATTAGAGATGAGTATTTTCAATGCTTTTTTTTCATGTGTAATTTGAAGTTAGGATTCTCTAGTATTTGATAAAGCAGGCCTTCTGTTTGAATACGTTAGAACTAGCATCTAAATCATTCCCATTCCTCTCAAAATAGTTTTGTTCATCACTTTCATGTTTTGGAATGATAATATTCCCCATGTCAAGGATACTGGCTCTTATCTCACAGACTATGCACACAGAGGCTGAGAGGGACTTGGACTGAGACCAGAACTGAACTAAGACAAAGACCAGCACCGGACCTAGACCATGCCCGGACTGAAGATAGACAGGGACATCGTACAACTGCATTAGAAGGCTCGCTGAGCTGAGGGGATCAATACATATCGAGTTCCCATCAAGTTTTGGCTTCTGCTTTAGAGCAACTTTGACACGTTTGCAAAAGATGAAAGGTTTTGATATGAGATTGAATCAGCAATGTAGCCTACTTTGTTTTACCATTAAAGGAGCAGTGTGTAAAGATCTGGTTCTGCGGCCACATGTTGCTTTACCAGTGAGATTAGCTCGACACAGTGAGTTCTGGCTACCCTGATCCCAGACTTTCTGATTGGTTAAACGGTGGAGGGCGGGACTTCGAAGTGAAAACAATAACAAGTTTTAGGGGCTGTAAAACTAATTCTGAAATCCAAATATCTCGGCTGAACTACTGTTATCAGGTAAAGAAGTATTTGAAAAGAGCATGGTTTAGTAATGGCTTTTGACAGATTAGAGCCAATTAATGATGACTTGACATGAAAATCTTACATATTGCTACTTTAATTATCACACATGATGTATATTTTTGTATAGCCTGATCACATCCGCAATTGTCTGAAAGGACTGCAGGAATGTTGGTCGAAATTCATGTGTTTTTTGCCAGTGTGAGACATTTTATGAATGCTCAATTGGCTAATCCGCTGTAAAGGGTCTGACAAAGTGCCAAACTGACATTGTGTCCCTTGGCAAGACATTTCACCCACCTTGCCTAGAATGAGCATGGTGTATGCATGAACAATACATAATAATATTAATAATTGATTTTATTTATAACATACCTTACATATGCGAACACATCTCAAGGTGCTACAGCAAGTTAAAGACAGATACAGACAAATGCATAAAAATGTGTGATTGGTGGTCAGTGGTGATGGCACAAATGACTTGCTTTTGTCAGTCTAGCCCAGGGCAGTTGTGGCTACAGCAGTAGTTTACCACCCCTGTGTCCAGAGTGAATGAATAATATCAAATTTTGGACCCTGTAGTACTCACTCCTCCTGAGTGAGTACTACAGGGTCCAAAAGTCAAAGACGTAATTAAAATGAATGAATAATACTGTATGTGTCCAATATAAAACTTTTGCAAAGGTTTCTAAAGTAACTAACCTGTTTTTAACACATAAAGAGTACAAAAGTATCAATATTTGTTGTTAAAAGAGACGAGTAACACAAGTTTCAGAAAAGGAATTACTTAAGGAAAGTGTTTTTGCTCTAATCGTCCCCCTTTCAAAAAGAGCAAACTTCAACCAAATCACCAGGATGGGTCCAATTTCCCAACAGGAACATATAACCTTAATCTTAGTCTGTTTTTGAACAGTATACAGACGCAATTGTATGATCTATTTAACCAGGAAATGCATGGATCTGCTTGTGATTTCTGGTTTGGAATAAAAGCAGGTCTGTTTCAGTGCGTGTCCAGGGCTCGGTTTCCTCGGTGCAGTTTGGTGGAGTATGTCTGATCGACGTGTGAAAAGTGACAGACTGTTGTGACACTAAACGCTGAAGTTGTAGGTGTTGGGAATTCGCTGAATCCTGTTTACAGATGGATCTGCCCACACACTCTATCTACACAGAGAGAGCGGACAGTGCATTGACTCATAAGCATTTAAGCTGGAGTACTAGGGATGTAAATCGGTGACCGTTTAACCGGTGGTTGACCGTCACAGCGTTAACCGGTCAAAGCTGTCGGTTAAAAATAAGAAAAAGCGGAGAGGGGAGGTCTCTTAATAAGGCTATTTTAAGCCCTATTTGTACGATGTGACGAGCGAGTCCGTATCTAGCTGTGTCCGCCAATGCATTAGTAGACTACGGGCGACTTTCATGGTGCACGCTCCACATATGCACGCAGCCACGCACACGCACGCGCACAGACACACACATACACACACAAACACTTTCCCCCCCTCCATACGTAACATCCACACGCATCATCTCTCCCCTCTGTTACCGCCAAAGTTCCACACTAGTGCAGGTCAGAACTACATTGGAGCTTATATTTACACACACATACATACATGTATTGTACACACACACATACCGGTCTGTCGCGCACCTCTGTGTCTCGCAGCCCAAAGAATCCTCGCAAATACGCGGCTCCAGTCAAACACATGAAACATGTTTGTGCTGTTGGTCCTTGTCATTAGATCAGATCCACACACATCACTTTTAAACTTTAGCGGAGACCTGCGAGACGCGGCGTGTAACTCGCTGCTCTGACCATGTGAACAAGCCGTCTTTTGCTTAAAAATGCTTTAACCCGCAGCACAGTATGGGAAGATTAAAAAAGCAGTTCTCTGTGCGCAAAGGTGCCGAAGCTGTTGCGGGTTTTGGCGCCGCTGTCTCAGCTCTGATCTAGTAGAACGCATAGATACACTTATGAAAAGTACGCGGCTCAAAATGGCTGCTATTTTAAAGAACGTGGAATATTTTAAACTACGTGGTTAACCGGTTTCAACCGGTTAATGAGGCTCGGTGGTCGGTCATGAAAATGCATAGTTTTTTACATCCCTATGGAGTACCTAACTTTTGTTATTGTTTCATAAATACATGTTGTTTGTACCAACAGAGAGTTTTATTCAAGTGAGATGTTGTGTACAAATCAGACCAAAAAATGTCGTCTTTTACATTCGGACAGGTGATTGGCTGAGTGAGGGTGGTCCTCTCTTTTCAGAGGAAAGCTGATATAACAATGTGACAGAGGCCAAAAATACAACTGAAAACAGAGAGAACCAAACTGTTACGAAGGTTCCATATTGCGCTCTTCTTCCAGTTTCACAGTCCATCCTATGCACATGTGTGATGAGGATTTGAGTGATACACTACACAGCACTTAAACCTGTGAGATTAAACCATCTCTTGCATATAGAGGTGATGTCACCTCAACTCAAACGAGCTGATCCAGAGAAGATCAGAATAGACTTTTTCCAACAATGGTAATCTGACACATCAAGCTCTACGTCCTCAATCCAGAATCAGACCCTAATTATTTAGTTTACAGAAGTATACAGCAACGGCTGTAAACTTCTATAAACTTTGTGTTGGCGTTTTTTATCGTGGGAATAACACAGGTTTTCAGATCAGCTTTTGAGCAAGGGCAGTTTCAAGGTAAACTGTAGCATTTAGATTATTAGTGGTTTTTTTTTTTCGTAAATATGATTTTCACATTGGCTTTGTCATTTCATGTTTTAGAATGTGAAATAATATTAATAAAGTAGAAACTATATATGAAATTTTTTGTTGGGTAAATATTACTTTCTGCCTAACTAAAGGGCAAATTACAAGTTTGTGCCAGAAGTTTCTGAGCTTAAAATCTATTTAAAATAAAGAATTTAGGATACATATTAAGTCAAGTTTAGAACATCCCACGGTATTGAGAAATGTTATAATGATCAAATCCATTTCCTCCATCCTACTCAACCTTTGAAAAATGAAAATATCCATTATTGGAAGTAAATTTAATGTTTTTGAAGGTAAATTAAATGGTTAAGACAAATTTAGGATATGCTTTTGGAAAATCCAGCTGGCTCAAAGCCTCAATGTCTATATTATTGCCCTGTGTACTGGACTGGGTAAACTCTTGCCAACCAACTTCTAGAACAGGGGTTTCAGCGATGTCTCTGAGTACTCCGATTTCCCCTTCCACTAAAAACATGTAAATTATGCACCAGAATAAAAATGATTGGTACAGCGAAACATTTGCTTTGTATGAATTTCAGAATTGATATTCATCGTTTGTTGCTATGTGATATTGGTGAAATCCTCAGATTATTACATACGCCAATAGACTATTTTGCTTCTACCTTCTCCCGTTTGAGCACATGAAGGGAACTTTATACAACTGTATGCTAAACACAGTTCAAAATAAACTCAGTCGTATGTCTTCTGCCTTCCAGTCTGTGCTCAGGAGAATGGGCAAATCTGAAAGCCAAATGGACATCATGGAGAAATCTAGTAAACCCGGGAGACACCGCTGGACCGCAGCAGAGATTGGGCTGTCCGTGCTGCTGCTGCTGGTCAGCTGTGCTCTGGCCGGACTCGTGGTGCTCTACACAGCTGCAGTAAAAGGTGAGATGTGTGAATAAAAGGGCAAAATATGGTTTAATGATCCGATAGAAGAATATGAAGAGGACAGGACACACACACACACAGCCAGTGATTTCATTGTTTTGGTGTGGGGAAACCATATATTGTCATAAACATGTTTCAGGGTTTCATTATTTGATGGTTTGGGCTGAGAGATGATTGGCTGAGTGAGGGTGGTCCTGTCACCTGAAGAACCCAAAATGCAGGAATCCAAAATGTATGGATTCAATGATAATAATAGAATAAAAGTCCAAGGTAAAAACAGAAAAAAAATTCCAAACGAAACACAGGAACAAGGAAAACAGACAGACAAAGACAATGGACCAGCAACAGTGGGATGAGCAGAGGGTGTATATAGTCACAGAGAGACACGGGTGAAACACATTAGGGCGGGGACGACTAAATCAAACAAGTGGAAATGACAGGAAGTAAAACTAAACTAAAACAAAACCACAGAGAACTGAAGTCAAAATTGTTTCCTGCGCTTTTTTTAGTTTGTTATATAATTTGTTTTATTTATGTTCTTGTCTGGTGCACACTGGGGACGTTTGCACATGTATTCCAATGTGGTTTTACTGCAAAAGAGAAATTAGATTAAGTACAGTACAAAACACAAACTCCACACTATTACAGGTCCTTTCTTTTTCACTTTTCCATACGTGCATGTGACACAACAAGGAACTAGTTTGACAAATTGTATTACGTAGTTCCATTTCCTGTGGCTTGAAACGTAGATGTCATGTACCCCAGCTCTAATAATCACAATTAGTGTATTCCAAAACGAGAACTAATGCTTTCCCTGCGTACTATTGTTGATTCAAATTACCACTGTTTTAACTGTAACCATCAAAGTTATACGCCGTACCTGATATTCTGTATGGGGTTTAATACCAGAACACAGTATTGAACCACCTCTTATTACAGTGTATTTGAGCAGCCGGCCGAGTCTGTCTTGACCTCACCGTCCGCAAAAACACTTTAATCACGGCTATTTACTCCTAACATTACCTCCGTGCGTCTGTCTCTCCTCCAGAGCAATCTAACCGGAATGGGCCCGGCAGTTCCAGGGGCTCCACAAGCGAAGGTACGCTGCTTTTTACGTTTGTTTTTCCCAAATACTGAAATACACTGGTTAAATTGAGGTTAATAAAGGGTCTGGGTGGTATGGTGGAATGTACAGTGGCTGCCGAGGGACACATTACGTTGCAATTTCTTTCCAATTGTTTCAAATTGTCTGCTTTTTCCAGGCCAGCAGGATCTCACGAGCGTAGAGCAAGTTTGCACCACGGCTGACTGTGTAAATGCTGGTGAGTTTGCCTTTTATAAAACCAAGCACATAACATGAGGAAGAGAGACTCATCCAGAATAATTACACTTGTGGTCTGTAAACAAAGATCCAATTCGGGGGTCTGTTCCCGCTTGTATCATTTGAAAGGTTAAGCCAAATTCAGAGACAGAGGGCTCTTGATAAGTTGTGAGAGGTCCTATCTGGATCTATAAAGGAAAAATATAAACCCCATAAACCATACAGAGCTTTATACAACAGATGTGACACATTTGGTTACTGACGAGTTTACTTCTTAATGTAAGTCAACAGGAACCAGAGAACGTTTGAGGAAAGCTTTGCCTATGAGCACTTCCTCACTGGGCTTAGCATTGTTTATGTATTTGTGTACAGCAAGTGCTACAGGAGAGTTGTGGGGTCAGATAGTTTAAAGGCCGGGGTCTTGCCTGAGTGTGTGTGTGTGCGTGTGTTTTGTGTGGGCGTGCGTTTGCACGTGCACGTGACTCCCACTGTCTGCTGTCGTTGTGTCCTTGGCAAGACACCTCTGAGAACACCAGCCACAGTGGGGCGGCTGCGGCCGTAAAGTGCCAAACTGCCGTTGTGTCCTTAGGCAAGACACTTCACCCCCATTGCTAGAATGAGTCTGGTGTGTGTGTGAATGGTTGGTGGTGGTTGGAGGGGCTGATGGCGCATACTGGTTGCCTCGCTTCTGTTATAGTGCCCCAGTGCATTTATACGGAGACTTGATTACACACAGGTTCATTCTATTTATCATCCTCAGTCATTTAGGACAACATTGGATCATTCAAAGATCCTCACTGAACTTCTGGAGTGAGTTTGCTGCACTGAAAGTAAAGGGGCCGAATAATATTGCACGCCCCACTTTTCAGTTTTTTATTTTTAAAAAAAGTTTAAATTATCCAATAAATTTTGTTCCACTTCACGATTGTGTCCCACTTGTTGTTGATTCATGACAAAAAATTAAAATTTTATATCTTTATGTTTGAAGACTGAAATGTGGCGAAACGTTGAAAGGTTGAAGGGGGCCGAATACCTTCGCAAGGCACTGTATATGTGGACTAATAGTATCATTGTGTGCTTTGTGTTGTTTGAATGAGAGTGTTTGGAACCAAATAACTTTGCTGTTTATTATTTGATGGTCTTTGTTGTGCATACATTTGAATACCAAACAATGATATTGTTTTGAATATTCTGCAATCTGCTCGTATCTTGTTCTCACACTCTGTCCCTGTGTGTTTGTGCCAAAGCTGCGCGGCTGCTGCAAAACATGGACGACTCTGTGAAACCTTGTGAAAACTTTTACCAGTTTGCCTGCGGAGGCTGGTTGGAGCGGCACGTCATCCCAGAGACCAGCTCCAGACACAGCGTCTTTGACATTCTGCGAGACAAACTGGAGATCGTCCTCAAAGGTCCTTCTTCTCCAATGTTTGATAATATGGATGTGGGCTGTCCTCAAAGCTGATCGACGATAGTCTCGCTTTGATTAATGTCAGTCACAAGAAGAACTCACTACAGTCAAAAAAGTTCAATACAACATCGGTAATTGATCCACAATATATGCGTGAAATCAAAATGTGGCCGGTTCTGCTTTTTTCAAATTAACATTTTAATATTGAAACTCTATTCAACTGAGTATACTGAGATAAGAGTGGTCTGAGCTTGTATATATACTGAGACAAAGACTAATTGAGTCTGGATTTGTCCTATAGCATTGATCCATTCTATTGTTCCCTTATAAATGCAGTGTCTTTATCATCTCATGTTTGTTGTTTATCTCTGCAGGTTCTCTGGAAACTCCAAGTGACCAGGACAGAGATGCCATCAGGAAAGCCAAAGTGCTGTACAGCTCCTGCATGAATGAAAGTAAGGTTGAAATATATTTGTAAGCAGGGGCGATTTTAGACTTTCAGCTTCAGGGGTGCTTAGCACCTTGGGGTGGGAGGGGCATAGGTAGATGGAATTTCAATATGAGGGAAATTTATTGTAATAATAGTACAATAATACATAATTAGAACAGACTCATGAGTACAACGTACAACTAACTGCAAAATTAGTTACAAAAATGACACGCTCTTAGAACATATCTTACAATAAATTCTGAAATGCAGCATACTGTAATTAACACGGCCTGGTTCTTAAAGAGTTAGGCCCTGTTTATACTGAGACGCTGCGCAGACGTTTCCAGACTATTACAGTTTTTCTCAGTCGCTTTGGTGCATTTTTCACATCAGACTTAAAGTTCTCAAAACTATTTGTTCAACTTCCACAACATTGGGTCATTGGTGCACATGATCATGGCAGTTTCTCATTCCTCTGAACACATTTCAAATGCTTTTGTTCATGTATCAGTTACTTTCATACAATTCTCAGCGTTTTTTCAACATCATCATTTGCTTCTGTCCTGTCAGTCAAAATGAAACACACTTATCACTTCTGAATAGTCATTCACTATAAAACTAACTGTCCTCATTTCATCGCTTTGGTCATCACATACAAAATTGTTGAACTAGTTCTCAAAATCATAACTGTCAAGCTATAATTCATACATTCCTTTATCTTTTTTTACTGTAAATCTTTCTTAAATTGAACAATTTATCTCAGGTGAATTTCAGCTTTCACTCATGAGGTATGCTTTATTGTTCATTTTTGTCACAGTTCTACCATAATGATATTTCTTGTATGTTTGTTCTATGTATATACTACATATACAGTATACTGTATGTGCCTGTAATTCTACAGCATTGTGCAACAGAAATACAAAGAGCATATGCAGTACACATACATACATATACATACTGTACATACATACATAGATACACACATACATACATACATACATATACATACTGTACATACATACATAGATACACACATACATACATACATACATATACATACTGTACATACATACATAGATACACACATACATACATACATATACATACTGTACATACATACATAGATACACACATACATACATACATACATATACATACTGTACATACATACATAGATACACACATACATACATACATATACATACTGTACATACATACATAGATACACACATACATACATACATACAGTACATACATATATGTTACAGAATGTCAGTTACTCTAAATACATTCTTTGTGTAACTTTACTGTAGTTTTTACTGTAAATGGCCGTTTAGGTCGTGTATAGTGTGCTCAAGTGTCACCGAGATCTGACTTTTTTACTCTGAAAACACAGAGAGAGTAAACTTTCACAATGAAAACATGACTAAGTCATTTGACTGTGATGTTCATACTCAATGTTGTTAGGACATATTATTTTGACGACACAGACAGTTTCATTGACGTTTGAACTTGCTTTTGAGGACATAACTTTTCATTTTGAGAAAGTGACGCACTTTTGCAGGTTATCCACGAGGTTCTGCAGTTTGCACTAATTGTTCTGAGAAATGCACCAACAGTTGTGCAAATGTGAAGAACGATGTGAAAAATGCACCAAAGCGACCGAGAAAAACTGTAACAGAAACGACCTGGCTCCTAATGCAAATTTCTCAGCGTTCACATGAGGTTGAAAAACGATGTAGTTCTAGCGCCCGGCCAGTAGTGGGCAGAGAAACTTTACAACACTCACACGACCCCCAGCCCCGTGCCCAGCCCCCCTCTCGGCAGTATATTCACTTCCTGTGCCAGACCCTCAGAAAGTACCAACATCATTCTGCATTTTAACAGCAGCTGTGAACATGGGAACTGAACCTAGAGCTTCGCGAGGTCTCGTTTGGAAGAACGAAGGAGTAGAATTATCCTCTGTGCCGCGCTCGAAGCCCACGTAGCTAGTTAGTGCGCGCGGCGCCATTGTTGTTGATGTTTGTTCTCCGCTACTGCGCGTGTCCAAATTTACGTGCGGGGAGCAGCGCGGAGGTGGGGGTCAGAGCAGAGGGGGATTTCACACCTTTTCCCCTCTCGCGGGTGTGAAAAAGCTCCCTGCTGTGCAGCGTTTCTGAGTTGTCCCACTCTGCAGGCTGGATCTGAACACTTACGTTTTCACCCCCCTGAAAAACAGTCTTCGTATGAATGGTTGGTAGAAACCAACATCCAACTATACCGTTTTACTGCCACATTGTCTCCGTGTAAACTCAGCCTTAATCTGTGGCGCCTCACTCTCAGTCGTGCAAATTTGTCCATTTTGTCAAGAACTTCCTTTTCAACTGACATGTTGTGAATCCTACTTGGACCAGAGGTCATTGTCAACTAAGAGCTACAGCTGCTGACAGGAATGCAACCTGTAAAACTGTTTTTAGGGATGGAAACACCTCATTTTCCAAGAGGTTGTACACTGAGAGGATGTCTTGCATTGGCATTGCCTCACTCTTGGGCTTAAGGTAATTTTTAGCGACAATCACTTTTTCTGTCTCAGATCAATGTAATAATGTTGGGCCAATGTTGACAAATCATGCTCAGACAAAAAACTGCATGCTTGAACACCTTGAAGCAACATCTGACACCAGAAAACCTCTTCTCAAGTTCAGCCAGCATCCAATCCAAACAAGGAAACAAAAGTTTTCTTTGATAATCCAGACTCTGAGGAGACATCAGTTTCACTCCTTGCCCTTCATGAGGATTCCACAACATCTAATTTTCTTACCTTAGCTCGTTTACCTGAAGAAGGTTCTGGAATCTCATTTGCCTCACACAGAATCTTGTATACATGTTTGCAGCTGTGACATTACTTTTTAAGGGAATCAATAATGGCATCTTTGTAAGCTAAGGCATGTGCTAACAACAACAAATGATTCTTGTATAGCCCTAAATCACAACAGAAATAATCTCAAAGGACTTCTCAAAACCATTGAAATCCCCAACACAAATCAGAGAATCAACAGTTGTGTGGTTAGTATCTTTCCTGCTGTTCTCCCTCACTGCAATATTCTCCTTCCCTTTAACTGCTGTCAACTAAAAGACACATTTAATATGCATGAAGTACACTATAAAATAAATATAGCACCTATTAACTTATGAATGAATGAATGAATACTTTTATTTCGAGCCATGTCAGACAAGAACAAGGAATAACAGCAATACAACTGAATAGAAAAACAAAACAAATAAACAATAAATAATAAATAACAAAAAGTCAGCTCGAAAAGGAGTGGGAAGAAGTTAAAACTTTTAAACTCCCACCCCCTATTAATTATTCTAATTGAATTAACTTAGATTATGGTTGCTATAGCTTAGCTTAGTCAGTGGTGCAATTATGCAACAGTGATATTCAAGTTAATATGCCCTTGATGTATACAGTATATGTATAATAAGTTTATATTCTTGTTACCTTAATATTTTATATGAATTTAGGTGTCATAACATCATCATCACCACATATCCATATAATTTTCATGTTTATAATTTTCATTATCATGTATATTGTATGAATTAAATAGGATTATAGAATATTGTATATTTACTATTTAATAAATTATTACTGATCACTAGTGTTATACGTGAGTTAAATGTGATCATTGGTGCTGATGGGAGCAAGCTTGTATTTAGCTGGTGTTTTATTTATAAAGGGAGTCTCTGCGTCCACGGATCGGCCTCTAAAGGGAGCAGCCTGTGAGCTGCAGATCTTTGTTACGTGTCCTAATCTGTGCATTAAAAGAGACAGTATGTGGGGGTCCTCTGCCAGAGGGTTCCTCCAGCAGCAGAGCCCCTCTGCCTACCCTGTACTTTGAGTTCTGTGAGTTCTGTGAACATGCTCAAATTGTAATCTCTGGCTACCGTCAGCACCAAAGCTTCAACCAGGATTCATTTATTTCTTTTCCAACAATAGATGATGGATTGATATGTTGATGTAATGACGCCCATAACAAAAATAATAATTTCTATAATAATACAAAAATAGTGACAATCAAAAATAAAAATAAAAAATACCTTAACCCCAATAAATGCCCTAATATAGACACATCATATTATTATTATTATTAGACCGTATTATACAATAATAATTATAATAGAAGAGTATAGTAACAGTATAGGACAGTATAGTAATAATAGCACATATAATATATAGTTATATAATAATTATAATAGAGCAGTATAGTAATAATGCTAATAGTACATATAATATATGATTTTGGTTGATGAGATCAATTTTCCCTTTCAAATAGTTTAGAATTATAACAATTTAAACCCCCATTCTCACATTCCTGTATGATGAAAATACCATTTTTTTATATGCTGATTTGAACAGATGGATAGTTGGACATTGCTTGAGTTCGACACACAATTTGTTCCAAAGTTTCACTCCACACACAGACACACACAAACTTTTCCTTGTGGTTCTCACAGCATGTATTTTGAAGTTCCCGCACCCCCTTAGATTATAACACCCTTCTCTGTGAGTAAAGTGTTTCTGGATATTTGAAGGCAAAACCATTATGTTGGCTTTAAATAAAAGTTGAGCTGTATAAAAATCAACTAGATCAGTGAGTTTGATTTCTTTAGACTGCAGAAATAAAGTATGAGTGTGATCTAGATATCCTGCCTTATGAATTGTTCTTATGGCGCGTTTCTGAAGTACAACCAGGGGATGAATTGAGCATTTGTAGTTATTGCCCCAAACCTCTACACAGTATGTTAAATATGGCAAAACTAGTGAACAATATAATAAATGTAATGCTTTATGATTTAGGAGGAATTTTGATTTATTAATGATCGAGATGCTTTTGGAGACTTTGCTTTGTATGTATTTAATATGTTGTTTCCAGCTTAATGTGTTGTCAATAGTAACTCCTAAAAATTTAATCTCTGTTACGGTATCTAAAGCCATCCCATCTATATGTATAACCGGGCCTAGGTTGCTTTTGTATTTAC